AAGATGGAATTCTTGCTTATCGTGGAAATATAAAGATCATTAAATATATCCCTCTCTTATCTCCCTCTTTACCTATGTAACTGCAACTCATCCTTTAATCCTCATCTTCAATATCTCTTCCCCTTGGAGAGAATCTCCCATGACATGAGATCTTGCCCCTTTTCTGTGCTCCTGTAACCTGTCTTTCCTTTCAATCTTTGCAACTCCTTGTGACTACTGTGTAGCCAGACTTCCCACCTCTGTAATAGTCTTGATGATAGGGGCTTTGCCTGTACATTTTAGCAATGTATTTGCAGTAAACAAAATGCCTAATTCATACAAGATTCTTAGTTAATAAATATTGAGTGAATAAAGCCAGTCTGAGTTATTATTGGAAAAGCTGCCATTCCCTCCATAAAATTTCCCACAATTGACATTGCCTGACTTAAATTACATTATGCTGCATTTCTTCCATCTTTGTAAATATGATTAGCACTTATAGAATGTGTGCTTCATTACATAAGGTTTTGAAAATATCCTTGTTATTATGCTTTTCTTTTTCCCTTAGTTATATGGTAATTCCAGAATACTTTAAAAGTATTATAGTTTCATTATCAGGTAAACACAATAACTTAATCTCATAACATAAACCAAATTGCTTTACTCTCTCAATTGTAATTCTTTTAATTGAATGTAAATGTGTTTTTATAAAATGTTTTTGAACAATTTTTAAATGAATACTGTTGTATTTCTGTTTCTTACTATTGATTTGCTTATTAAATTACTTTAACTGATATGATACAAAAGTAGGACTCACACAGCTCCTGTCAAGTTATAATTGGTAGCATGAGAAATAAATGATTTCCTATTGTTAATATCAGAATTTATTAAGTAGGAGAAATATTATTATTATTCATGTTTGGATTGTGACATTTTGCAGAGACTCGGACAATGATTTCATGGGAAAGGAGGAACAGCCTTGGAAAGAGTTGCTCCATATACATGTTGAGGAGGGGGCAGGCAGTAAACATTCTTGTAATTTTGTGAGGAATACTTAGGACTTGCAGCTTTCTGGTAACTGTTCACCCCGTTCATCCACATTATGCAGTTTTATTTCCAGACTTCAGAAAGGGAAAGGAACTAATAATTGGGAAACAGATGGAACAGCAGAAGCTGTGAGAGGCTATGAATGGGCCTCCTAGAGAGTTCAGCACTGCCCGCAGCTGGTCAGCACCCAGCACGGCAGGATTCACTCCACACGCAGGGCCAGCAGGTGCCTGCAGGTCATCTCTGGTCAAGCACAGTTTATTCCACTGTCACCATCACCGATAAAAGAAAAATCCTACACCAGGTATCAGGCAAGCTGCTGGCTCTCTCTTTACAAGTGTGCTTCACAGGGAGTTTACAAACCAATATCCTCGTTAAAAAAAAATCCCAGTAAAACTAAATAGAGAGAATACTTAAAAAGTTTCTGTACATACATATGATAAATGCTAGGAAGACAAAAGAACTTAAATTTATAAAACCCAGGAGTTGTTTTATGGACATTTGCCAGCATATTTTTTTATTTGTTAGATTTCCTAACATCTTAATTGTGGTAGATTTAAGATCTCATAGAAAACTTGAGTAATTAACACTTCAAAATCTATTCACCATATAAGTATATATGTTGACTATATGTATGTATATATATATGTATATATATATATATCCTATATAATAAAGAGGCGATATGCAAATTGACTGTCACTCCAACACATAAGATGGCTACCACCCTCATGTGGTCAAAGATGGCTGTCCCCATGTGGACACAAGTGGCCACCACAGGATGGCCAACAGGGGAGGGCAGTTGTGGGTAATCAGGCCTGCAGGGGAGGGCAGTTGGGGGCGACCAGGTTGGCTGGGGAGGGAAGTTAGGGGTGACCAGGCTTGCAGGGGAGGGCAGTTAGGGACAATCAGGCCTGTGGGGGAGCAGTTAGGCATTGATCAGGCTGGCAGGGGAGTGGTTAGGGTATGATCAGGCTGGCAGGCCAAAGTGGTTAGGGTCAATCAGGCAGGCAGGCAGGCAGGCAAGCAAGTGGTTGGGAGCCAACAGTCCTGGATTGTAAGAGGAATGTCCCAGATTGGAGAAGGTACAGGCTGGGCTGAGGGACACTCCCCCACCTCTGCCATGCACAAATTTCCTGCACAGGGCCTCTAATTATATATATATATATAATTTATTTATTTTAAATATATATTCACAACTAATCCTAGTTGAATATTTTCTCTGTTACATCTGGTTCTACTTGATTGTATGTCCTCTCAGATTTAACACCAACTCTAATTTTGGAAAGAGTCATCTACAGTGAGAAGGAAGGGTTTTGACCAATGGCAAAGGGGACTTGGGGTCCCACTCCACTAAACCATATGACTTTTATTATAATTATCTATATTTGTAAATGAAGGTTTACGCCTGTGATGTGCAAAAAAACAAGAAGTCACACTTTTCCTGCTTCTAGCACTCACATGTGATACATGCTTTTATAAAATGAGAATAAAATTTTTAAAAAGAAATGGATATAAATATTTTTAAGAGTCTCATTTTATACCCTTTAAAAATTGTGTATTTATTTTTCAGACTATGAACATACACATCTCATATAATATTAAACCTTGGGGAAAAACACTTTTCAAGCCCAAACTTTGTGTCAAAAAGTAATTCTTTCTTCAAGTTATGTCACCTTGGTTTTAAATATATACTCACAGGCAGAATTCTTGAAAGCATAACTGGTTTTATTTTTACCCTTCTTTTCAGCATGACATGAACTGTAGCTCAGGTCTTCAAATTGCTGTAGATGTAATTATAATATAAATGTGAATAAATCTGAATAATTAAACTATTACAAAGTTTTCTATGCACACTGAGTATGTAAAAGGATAAATGAGTTCATCTTTTTTTTTTTCCTTTGATCAATTTGAGGGACCATGATATTCAGAGATGGTGAGTAGAGAAGAACTTGTCAGAAAAATACTCAAGTCATTTACCACAAGGGAACAGAGAGAGTGGCCTTGTTAAAATGGGTTCACAACACCTAGAGGACCTTCTGTAGTCCTTAGGCTGACATCCCTAGGTTAGGATTTATGACTGCACCCGCATCTCTTGCACTGTGCTCTCTAGGTTACAGCCTTATTGACTCTAGTAAAATCCTTGACTGAGCCATGTTCTTTCCTCCGTATTTGATAATTTACCAAGAACCTTCTATACCACTCCCCCCGCCCCTCACCTTCACTGGACTAATCCTTTGAATATCAGGTCAGACATCACTTTCTTAGGAAATCCATTTCTAATTACTCCATATCCACCCACACTCACATACACACACACATACACACACACACACACACACACACACACCCTCACACCAGACTAAGTTAAGTCCCCAAGCCCCTTCTCCTTGTAGTACTAGTGACTTCTCCTTTCCCTACATAACAATTTTAATTCTTGTTTAGTGTGTGTTTTCCCCACAACTCTGTAACAGTAGGAGCAAAAGATAGCATGTCTATTTTCAAATGAATTCTGAGCCTAGCAGAGCACCTGGCACATAGTGGGCGTTGTATGTATTCTGAAGAAAAGACAGGAAGGAAGGAAGGAAGGAAGGAAGGAAGGAAGGAAGGAAGGAAGGAAGGAAGGAAGGGAGGGAGGGAGGGAGGGAGGGAGGGAGGGAGGGAGGGAGGGAGGGAGGGAGGGAGGGAGGGAGGGAGGAATAGGGGATACATTTCCGCTTTCTTAGAGCATTTACTTTCAAAAACATGTCATTGTAAATTCTTTCTTTGTCCCTTTGAGATAACAAAATTTCTCTCAGCTTTTTTGCAAGTTTTATAACAGGGAAATTTCCTTTTCAGTGACCTGGGAGCCATCCCCATAAAATGTAATCATCAAAAATGATAGCCAACATCTATTCCCCAGTTTCTGTGGGAAGGTGGTGACCTAACTTAGATAAGTGGCAATTACCAAATACAGACGGCTGATCACATTGACCAAGCTCCCCTCATAATGCCCCAGCACATTCTCACTGGCTCAGCCCAGCACTTGAAAGCCCGCACACATTCTGTTCCAGCATATTGGGTTCAGAGTTTTGGCCTATTGGAATAGTCTTGAATAAAGTCTTCCTTGCCTATTTCACCCTGTTCAGTGCAATTTTTCTCTTGGAAAAGGATCATGACCACTCACATGAGGGTTGGCCTGGCTTCTATATACACTTAAATTAAATTGGAGTTACATTATTCATGGCAGATGTGACCATTCTAGAAGGTGAACAAATAAATATTCAAACCCACTAAATAAAATATCAATGAATTCCCATTTAATGAACAGGACAGAAGGAATAATTTATTTTGAGGAGATTGCTTTTTTTTTTTTTTTTAATTGCTAATTACTTTGAAATAGCACCAGGAGGAGAAAAGCTTCTGGTCATTTCTAAGCAATGCAAATTTAAACAATGTCTAGGAGCAAAATCTGTGGTTGTCACGTTTCTGAGCTAAACCGATATTCTGCCTCATATAATGCAGCTAATATAATGGTGTGGATGGCAACCTTGAAACCTTGCTGAGTCTTATTTACTGGTGGTCTGGCTAGGAACTGGTGGGCTTCGTAATCTAGTGGCAAAGAGCACTGGGCTTAGAGCCAGACTGCCTGGATAGCAGCCCGGTTTCACCTCAATCCCAGAACATCTCCTGACTCAGTAAAAGTGAGTAGCATAGCATCTGATGACTAGCATATGCTCGATAAATATTGGTTCTTATAATTGTTACTATCAGCACCTTCATCATCATTTTCACTATTTTGAAAATTAAACAAGATTATTATGATTTCACAAGTTTGTGCTCTCTGCCAAATAAATGTCACTGATGGGTAGCGATGCTGACTTAAACTAGACTCTAGCCTTGCTGAATTGTTTCATTCATGCACAACTCTGAGCTCTATTTGTGAGATGTTTATCTTTGTCTTTCCCCACCCCTACCTCTGATTTTTTTTTTAGTGATGGATGGGCAGATAGAGATGAAGTCATTGAAGGTTATGAGGTGGAAGCCAACGGGGGAATCACGATAAAGCTGCAGTCTCCAGAGGTCAGGTCGTTTGATGATTATTTCCTGAAACTAAGGCTGGACACTAATACGAGGAATCCTTGGTTCCCTGAGTTCTGGCAACACCGGTTTCAGTGCCGCCTACCAGGACACCTTCTGGAAAATTCCAACTTTAAGAAAATCTGCACAGGTAACTCACGTTCACAAAATCACAACTTAGAGGTGTGGTCGTCTCTTATGACCCCATTACAGCTTGTTGAATGAGAATTAAAATGTTCTAAAGCTGGAGATGCAAAGACTAAATTACCATATTAATTTATAAAATAGCTGGGGTGAGGAGAGTGTGTGTGTGTGTGTGTTGCCCCAGAGATTCATGTTTCTATATTCTGGAAAGAACTGCTTTGGTCTCTGGTGGAACAAGTGATAAGAAGAATTAACATCAGTAAAGGAAAAGCAAACTGAGAATTTAGGTATTCCAGGGGGAAGAAATTTTATAGCAGGCATGCTTAGGAGGTGCTAGCCACAGATATATATATAAGCAGCATTGGTTTGATCCTTTTTTTCTTCCATATGACTTGATTCAATACACAAGTCAGGAGAAAATGAAGTAGTGTCGCCCAGGACCAACCATCAGCATGGTGTATGTGCGCATAGGTGGCAAGAAACTTTGCACCCTCATTTGTAAACTGGTGACAATACCAATGGAGTTTTTTTTTTTTTTGCCTTTTTGGCACATTGTTCCAGGTCTTTCAGGGGCCAGTTGCACTCTACATGATGTTCTCTTCATCCCTGACCTTCCCCACAAAATACTGTAATTTATATGTCTTAACATGGTAACTTTTATGAGTATTATCGTTACTGCATAGAGTTATTTTTGTCCCCTGCCCATGCTGTGAAGATAGATTATCCTTGGACTACCTTGGGGCCATTCAAAACCAGTTGTCTATGCTAGGTTGATAACATACCATGATGTACAGCCATGGTCAAATTTATATTGTTACATAGTTGATTAACATGTATTTCCTTTCACTAGGCTGAGGAGATATTATTCAGGGAAGTCTAGAACCCATCTATACATACAACACTCATGCATAACAATGGATACAGAGGGGAGAGAGAGAGAGAGAAAGAGAGAGAGAGAGGGAGAGAGAGAAAGACTTGCTTTCTTGGCAAGTCAAAACACATTATACACATGATATAGAGATAAATCACAACCAAAGACAGTGAGATTTTATAAGAAGATGGCTAATCACGTGAAATATTTCTAGTTTTAATAATATTCACACTTTGACATTAGAAATTATTTAAAATACCAGTCTATTTAACATCAGTGATATATGTCTGACTTGCTGAGGTTCAACAGAGTTCACTGAGAAATTGCCTGCTGTTCATGTATTTTCTGTCAATCATGTTTATTAGAACTTCCTCAGTATGGCATCTTGGGAGGCTCAGAGCCAGGAGTGGGGAAGAGAGATGCGGAACAGCTAACCCACTTTCACATATGAATCTCAACTGGCTTCTCCTTTCTCTCAACTAATAGGCCAACAGAAATGAAAACTCTAATGAACCAATAAACTACCTAGTGCCTTCACCTTATTTGCAAAATAAAGACATTGAGGACAAATTTGGCAACAATTTCCTTACGTGTATGTAGCTAATTGCAGTGATGGACTACAAATGCATATCTCCTAAATACCACAATGCTTGACTTAATATTTAGTAATATATAATTTTTATTGTTCTCTAATTTTTCCCTAATGAATTTTGTTTTCAATCTTAAACTGTGAGATCTTTAAAGATTGATAGCACTTGCAAACCTCATAGAATCCTGTACAACATTGATTGGAATCTCAGTCATTTCTTATTAGCCAACTAATGAGTTGATTTATATTCTCTCAGTGTAGGAAGGCAATGAGTTACTTAAAAAAATAAAAGTTAAGGACTCTTCTTTTTAAAATAAACTATTTTTTACTAATTCACCATAATTTATTGAGTACCTAACATGTATAAGGCTTTATTCTAGGAAACAGCAGAAAACAAAGCAAAAAAAGTGAAATCAATAATCTTACATTTAAGACTGGGAAATAAATAGTAAACAAAAATAAATTTATAGATATACATTCTCAATTGATTCAAAGAGCATTGGAGAAGTAAAGAATGAGGATTGGAAGTCTGGATAGGAAGATTGCAGTAGAGAATGGCCATAAAATGTCTCCCTGAGAAGGTGACATTTGATTGAAGATGTGGAGACTGTGAGGGAGTGAGCCATGTGAACACTGGAAAAGCGAATCCCAAGCGAAGGGAATAGAGAATAAAAAGAAGCACCAGCATGGCTGGCTCAGCGGAAGAACAGTAAGGATCCCAGGCAGGTTGGAGCCAGTGAGTAGACAGAGTAGGAGGTAAATCAAAGAGGCACACAAGGGTATAGATCCTGTAGGACTTAATTGGATTTGGGGAGGATTTTAGCTTTGTTCTGAGTGAGGTGGAAATCATTGGAAGTTTAAGCACAGCATAGACACGGTTGCCTGCTTTTTCTGAAGAAAAAAAAATCACTCTTTCTGCGGTTTTTAAACTTTAACAGAAGGGGAAAAGCAGAAGGAAGCAGCATATTGAAAAACCCACTATAATAAGGCAGGTAAGAGTGGGGCCATCAAGTGTGATGGAGAGAGGTTGTTGAACTCTGAGCACATTTTGAACAAAAGCTGAGGGGATTTGCTGACAGAATTATCAAGAATGAGTCTGATCTACCTGGCCAGTGTGGCTTAGTGGTTGAGCATTGGCCCAGGAATCAGGAGGTCATGATCTAATTCTGGTCAGGGCAGGTGGGGAAAGAATCAGGAGCTAGATTTTGGGCAAGTCTAAAATGCCTATGAGTGATGCCATTTTGCCATTGTGGTTCATTAGAAAAATTCAGAATAGTACTTATTAAACTTGCTTGTATGTCTTTATGTGAGGATTTCCAATAAAAATATTCTGTGACCTGAGGTCTCAAAGAAAAGTGAGAATTCTGACTATGTACATGTCAAGGTTAAAATCTAATGTTATGCAAATTCTTGGTTAATGTTCACAGCAGCAATTAACAATCTGAAAATTTATTAATTGCTCTTGTATATTATTTTTGACTTTCAAAGCTATTTTTAAAATCTTCTTATGTGATTACAACCCTTAATAAGCATGTTTATTGCATTTCATCCTAGAGTCAAGTTTAACAATTATTTCTCTTTATTTTTAATTCTAAGGAAGGCAGAAGTTTTATTTAACTTTTTCTATTTGGAACTAATTCATCAAACTTATTGATATATTCTGTTGCAGAAATTCTATTTTTTTAAAATATATTTTATTGATTTTTCACAGAGAGGAAGAGAGAGGGATAGAGAGTTAGAAACATCGATGAGAGAAAGTCATCGATCAGCTGCCTCTTGCACACCCCTCGATGGGATGTGCTCACAACCAAAGTACATGCCCTTGACCGGAATCGAACCCAGGACCTTTCAGTCCGCAGACCGACGCTCTATCCACTGAGCCAAACCGGTTCCGGCCAGAAATTCTAGAATTTTATCTTTAGCAGTGTTTGTCTATTCTATATTTATGTGTATACTTTTATGTTCTTCTGTGTTAATCTCAGTAGTTCTATAAAATTAGCTTCCGTGTTATTGAAGAACAATATAAACTTTCACTATATGTATCATTTTTACATAGTTGAGATCCTTGAGTATCATATGTATTTCATAGTATTCAAATTAATATTGCAGACACATTTATGAAAATTAGTGTGAGGAAGCAGAAATAGCCTCTCCATACTATTATTGATAGCTACTGTTTCTCACTCATGTGTCTCTCTTCTAATTGGGTCATTTTGAGTGTTTTAGAAAGTTTTGACATTGCAGTATCATAGAAACCTTTATTGAGCATAATCTCAGATTTCACTATTTAAATAAAGAGTTCATGTATGCTAAGTTTGTCAGTTTGAATATTAAGGGTCCTGAACCCAGGTTGAATAATTTGAAAATCACTGTGGTTAATTAAATAGTACTTCATACAAATACTATATATCACTGCTTAATTAGTTGAGGATATCAAGGGATTGGAGATGTGTTAGAAAAGCACTAATTGAAACACCAAAGACTAACTTCTAAAACATGAATCATTATGAATACAGTAGAAAGAGCAGTTGTAAAGCAAATCAAAGTCATTCTCTTTCAGTAAACATCTAAGATGCTTACAGCATTTGGGTCATGTTTGCAATGACATAGTGCTTTATCATGCCTGATGAGAATTGCTAGAAGGACTCCATGGGAGTTCAGAGAGTATTGCATTGGAAACACAACCACTGGGTCCCACACTGGTTCAGTTAGGTATCTGCTGCACGGCTTAGTGGACCTCTGAGTCTCAATTTCTACAAATGTAACATGATCATTTTTACTTCACACAGGTGTTGTGAGAATTAGATAAAATAATACAAGCAAAATATAAAGTGTTATTATTAGTTTCATATCTCACCAGAAAGAAAATAAGATATGACAGGGATTATATAACTAAAATTTATAGTTTTTAAAATTATAAATTTAAAACAACTACAGTCCAAGATGTGAAAATTAGAAAAAAACAAGCACATGACACTTAACTAGTTACTCTTACAAAATGCCAATTAGATATTTTCCTATGTAGCTTTTATAATTCTTTCCTGATTATCAAAGCAATGCATATGCTTTTCCATATGCAAATTGGAAATATAGAAAGCATAATAAAAAGAAAGAGCATTTAGAAATTACCCTTATGCAACCACTGATAATCACTGTTAATTTAAAAATGTATTTCTATTAAATACCTGATTAAATTTTGGTATACTTTTATCTTTATTTAATTTTAAATGGTGTAGCAATATTACTTTATATATTACTTTTTAAAAATGAATACTGCCTTTTCTTTTAAATCTATCAATTTATCTTTGTCATTACATTTTTTTAGAATTCTTAATGGCTGCATAACATTCTGCAAACAGATAAGCTACATTTTATTTAACCACTGCATTCCTCCTACACATTATGGTGTTTAGAATTCTTCACAAATTAAAGAAAGAAAAGGCTGCTGTGATATAATAACAGTTCTTCTTCCTAAACCGTTTTCTTGCATTTCAGATCATTTTCTTGAGATTTATTTTCAGAAGCTGAATTACTCAATGAAAAGATA